GGGAGGAGAGCCGGGCGGTGGGGGGGGGAAAGCCGCTCATCGCCAAGCTCAACCTGCGGCTGGCGGCTTCCCCCTCACCACCCGGCAGCCCCTGCTCTGCCTCCCCCCTTGGGAGCTGGGGGGCGGCGGGGGGCTCCTGGGTCAACCCCCCTGAGGAGAACCTGAGCCCCGAGGTCCCCGGCTCCCACACCCTGTAGAGGGACAGCACAGCCTCCCCCTTGTCACCGCAGTCCCCTGGGGCCACCTCTGTCCTGCTGGGGGGCCGGGGGCTGGAGGAGACGGAGGTGATGTGGATGGAGGTGAGCACTGGGTGGGGTGAGCCCCGTCCTGCCCTGTGCTGGGGATGCGGGGCTCACTGGGACCCCTGCTGCAGGGGACTGCAGCTCGGTGCTGCCCTGGGTACATGGCACTGCCACCATGGGCACAGGCAGTGCCAGCCCCATGTCCCAGGGCAGTGCCAACTCCATGTCCCCTGGCATGGCAGTGCCAGCCCCACACGCCAGGACAGTGGCCGGCAGCCCGGGGGCAGTGTGCCCAGACCCCGCGGCTCAGCTGGCGCGAGGCGTCGCGCCGGGGCAGGGTTGGGTTTGTTCAGGCCTAGGAGAAATAGAGAGAAATAAGCAGATTAGGGGGCAAATCCCGCGGGAGGGGATTAGAGGGGGTGGAAGTGGGAGGGCTTCTGCTCTATCACAAGGGGCTGGGGTGTCCCCAGCGCTCCCAGTAGCACCCAGTCCTCCCAGTACAACCCCAGGGCACAGGGATGTGCCAGCCTTGTCTGGGCAGCGAGTGATTTCAGCAGAGGAATGGGATCGGGGAGGGGGGGGAATGACTTTTTACTTGGTTTTCCCAAATGTGGCCCCACATGCGGACGTCCACAAATGATGCGGGGCATGCTCGACCAGGGGAAGCACCAATAAAGAGGGAAGGGCAGGCAGCTCGTCGCTCCTGTGGCTTTCCTGAATTTAAATGGCATTTTTTTGGGCCGAAAATATTACCTGTTTCTGCACTAAGTGCACCATGGCACTGTGGTGCCCGCGGGAGGGAAGGGGACACTGACCCCTCCTGCGAGGGTACCCCAACATTCCCTGCCATCATGCCCTGGGGCGTGCCAGTGCCACCCCATGCAAATTAGCTCATTTAAATAATTCATATAACCCCCCCAACCCAGGAACCTGGGGAGATGCATCCTCCTCCCCAGGCCCCTCTGCACCCTCACTTTTGGGTGGCGGTTGCAAGACTGGAGGGGGGGAGCATCCTTGCCCCAATTAGGCTCCGATCAAACGGGTCGGGGGGTGCCAAGCCCCCCGCTCTCCGCGCCAGCCGGCTTTTGTTGGCGCTCCGGAGGCCGAGGGGTGCCCCGGGCTGGCGCCAGCCTTGGCAATTATGTCATGTGAAAAGTGCAGCCCCCATTGAGTGCGTCCCTTCCCCCGGATCAAACCCCATTACTTCCGCAGCCGTTGCTTCATTATCTCCCTGCCGGAGCACGCCTCTGCCGGGGCCGCTTCACCTCGGCCCTGGCCCATTAGCCGGGCTGGGGAGCTGGGGGAGCATCGATTATGCGTTTAATGGGTTGTTAAAGGTTTAATTGTCACTAACGAAGCAGACGAGCAGCAGCAGCCGGGGGACGGGGGACAGGGAGAAAGGTCTCGCCGGGGTCAGTGCCTTGCCTGGCCCAGTGGCATCCCAGCCAGTCCCGCCTGACCCCGGGTGCTGTGAGGATGTCAGAGTCCCGTGCTGGAGATGTTGGAATGGGGTTGGAGCCCTCGGGGTTGGGGGGCTGCAGCCAGGTATGCTGGTGCTGAGTGGGGTCTGGCCCTTGTGGGGACATGGTGGGGACACGGTGGGAATGGTGCTGCCCCAGCAAAGTCCCAGTTTGTGGCTGTTGTTGTATCCAAAGCAGGAAGATTTTCTGGGGAAACATCTCTTTTTGGGGGGCGGGGAATACTGGTGCTCGCCTCACTTCCCCAGGGACCTGGGACACCCTAGGGACCCGGGGCACCCGCTCGCCCAGGGCTGAGCTCCCGTCTCTCGCTATCCTGGATGTGCTTCAGCACCGCAGAGCCACCACGGGGTCAGCCATCTCTGGGTGCTGGTGACACTGGCTGTACCATGAGGGTTCCCCTGGGGCGCAGAGCCATGCGGGGGACCCCAGGGATGTGGCGCCTTGTCACCGCCGCCCTGCTCCCACCTGGCAGGAACTGTGCCGGCAAGGGGTAAACCAGCCTTGGTGGACCCCAGTGCTCCCAGCTGGCCTCATCCTCTTGCCAGTCTCGTACGGGGGCTGTGGGGGTGCTGCTGCCACCCGCCTCCCACCGGCACAATTATGGCAGCTTTGTGCCACCAACATGTGGCCAGGCAGGAACCGCTGGGGAGCAATTAGGGCAGGCTGGTGCAGGTGCAGCCCCCGAGGGATGGCCGAGCAGATGCCCCTTGACAAGCCACCAAGGATGTGGCGTGGCACAAAGCTGGTGGCAGCCCGCTGCCGGGGCCGGATCAGGTCACCCGTGCCGGGATCCAGCCCCGCACGGAAAAGCCAGAGGGAGTGGGGCAGGAGGGAGCCCCGGGGACAATGCTCCCGCATCCCCCCGGAAAGCTCCTTCCCAGCAGAGGCTCTGCAGCCCCAGCGCACTAACGAGCGGTAACACTAACGAGAGGCATGGCAGGCAGGGCCCCAGCAGAGCCCAACTCCAGCACACAGCAGCCGTTCAGCTTATCTCTTTACTCACAATACAACTGTCTCCTCAGCGCCGGTGCATCTACCGGCACAACCGGTGTCACGCCCCGACACGGCTAAAAAAATTCCCCCAAGTACTCCCTACGAAACTAGAGCTTTTCTGTTCAGTTTTGTTTAAATCTGCAGCATTAAAAAAAAAAAAATAATAATAATGGGAAGGGGAAGGGGTGTGGGGAAAGGAGGTGTCCGGCCAGGGGCAGTGGGTGGCCCGGTGGCACGGTTGGATGCCCGAGCTTTGTCTGGATCCTCAGCTTGGGCCAGTGCCTTGGCAAGGCAGAGGGGCTGCAGGTGGCTGCCGGGGTGCTACCCCATGGCGGGGTCCCACCAGTGCCCCAGCTTGCCCTGCTGCCACCGATGGTGCTGGCTCGACAAGGGGAAGACGCAGCCCGGCTTCACTGCCCCACGCTGGCTGTGGTCCTGCTGAGCATCCCACTGTCACCCTCTTGCCTGCCCTGAGACTGAGCCGACACCGGGGACAAAAGCCGGGGGCTGGCAGGGCCGGAGGGGAGCATTCATCAAATGGGCTGCCAGGTCTTGTCAATGGTCTGAATGTGCTCCTTGGCTTTCATGCGGAGCGAGGCGATGCTGGAGCTCCTCTGGTCCACCTCCTCCAGCGGGTACTTGTCCACAAAGGTGGTGCCACACTGGTAGGGCGCGGGGGCCATGGGCTGCATGCCCTGTGTGGTGTTGAGGAAGGAGTGCCCGCCATAGGGGGGCTGCAGGGCCTGGGGGGCTCCCATGAAGCCGGGGATGCTGTGGACCGTGGTGGCACTGGAGATAGGGGATGTCAGCCATGGGTCGAGCGGGAGGGAGTTGCTCATGGGCCCCACGTTGGGCGTCATGGGGGGCCGGTTGAAGGAGAGCACGGGAGTGTCGTGGAGCTTCATGGAGCTGGCCTCCATCTTCTCCTGTCGCCGCCACTTGGCTCGTCGGTTCTGGAACCAGACCTGTGAGGTGAGAGCCAGGGTGAGCCCCACTGTGCCCAGCCAGTCCCTCGCAATGTGCTCCACATGCTGTGCCCCATGCAGAGTGCACCACACAGGGTGCTCCAGGTGGAGTGTCCCGTATGGGGTGTCCCATACTGCATGGGACGCCCCATATGTTGAGTCCCATGTGGGGTGCCCCACAGGGCTCCAGTAATCCCCTGCACACCGCACGCCTCTGCCAAACCTGTCCCACAAAGCCCAGAGACTAAAGGCACCTCCAAGGTGTGGAAAGCAAGAGGTGTCACCATACAGCCCCTGCCCTTGCTGCTCCATGGGAACAAGCTCCCCGGCCCTGCAAACACCCGTACAGTTCTCAGTGTAATGTTATGTGGCCTTCGAAAGCCCCTTGGTAAAAGCTTTTAGATGACAAACTGCCATGTTTGCACCAAAACCCAGCAGGAACGAGAGGGACCAGCAAGCCAAGGCCAGCGGTGACGTCTCGCCCCATGGGAGCTGCTTGTTAGAGCACTGGTCCCCGTGTCCCCAGAGCTTGCAGCAGCACAGGCTGTCTGCTGCATGATGTAAAGATGAATGGCTGGGCTGAGAAGGGGATGTCTCCCATGGGTTGGTCACAGTTGTTGGTGGACACTGGGCTATACTGGTGCAAACTGTGTCGAGAGAAGGGCAACGGAGCTGGTGAGGGGTCTGGAGCACAGGTCTGATGAGGAGTGGCTGAGGGCCCTGGGGGTGTTCAGCCTGGAGAAGAGGAGGCTGAGGGGAGACCTTCTTGCTCTCTACAGCTCCCTGAGAGGAGGGGGTAGTGAGGGGGGGTCGGTCTCTGCTCCCAAGGAACAGGCGATGGGACAAGAGGAAACGGCCTCAGCTTGTGCCAGGGGAGGTTTAGGATGGAGAATAGGGAAAATTCTTCACCAAAAGAGTAGTCAAGCAGTGGAAGAGGCTGCCCAGGGCAGTGGTGGAGTCGCCATTCCTGGAGGGATTTACCAGAGGGGCAGACGTGGTGCTGAGGGACATGGGTTAGTGGTGGGTTTGGCAGTGTCAGGTTGACAGTTGGACTTGATGATCTTAAAGGTCTTTTCCAACCTAAATGATTCTATAATTCTGTGGTTCTATGAAACCAGCCATTGCTCAGAGAGCTTGGCAGAGGTGTCCCTACAGCCTGGACCCCCCCCAGAACAAGGCTGCGCTGTCTTGGACTGGGGTGGAGGCCTGGGAAACTCAGTTCATTTGTAAGGGGATTACTGCCTTGCTTTGCAGTAGGTTTGTTGCTTCTTCAACTCTCTCCCCCTGGTCAGTCCCAGGGACAGGCTGTGCCTCCCCCTGCAAAACCTTCTGCAGCCCAGGGATTGAAACCTCCCAGACTTGCCACCCCCAACCCCTGGTATTACCCTGCTCCTACAAGCCTAAAGCCCCCAAATCTGTGAGGGTCTTGTGCTTTCCCAACCCTAAAGACCTGGAAGTGGTCAGAAGTGGCTAAGGTTTGGCTGCTTTCCTGTGGGATGAGCTGGAGGGATGGGAGTGGCCACCAGCAGCAGGGGAAAAAAAAATCTCTAAAAACCAT